CCATCTATCACCACTAGTGTCACTTTTTCCCAACTCTCAGTCCTATCTCTAATCCCTGACTTTCAAACTTTTGATTATAAAAAATACACCTACAATTACCTTGATCTCCCTGATGTAAAGTGTCCTTCACCACTGTTCTCTCTCTCTTACTACTAACTTTGAAACTTAGCTTACTGTCTTAGAGTTCCTTCAACCTAGTTCTCCTAACTTATTTTAATCTAATCTTTTCTCCTAACCTTTAAAAACCTTTTCCACTGATTTATTCACAAAATCCCTTTACCACCAATTTAGAATATGTGATTGGGAAAGTCCCCACCTGCTTCTGACTTCTTTACACACAGACTTGGCAAACGACTAAACACCTTTTAGCCTAGCCTGAAATCCCTTGGTGTAAGAATGTAACCCAGAATAACAGTCACCCCTTTTAACTTTATTTTTCAGACCGATTGTCTAATAGGCAGTCTAATAGATTATCATCCTTCCTATGATATTATCTTTTTAAGCAAATATGATTCCCAAAAACCTACTTTTTAAAATCTTCTACCAGACAGCCTTTTAGTGTACATCCTACCCAGTTCAATTTAAACAATGCATATCTTCCCAACACTCCAATAACAGTATCTTCTAATATTAGTATGTCTATTTTAATTTCTCCTTGATTTTTTATAGCAGCTGGAAGTGTAGCTGAAATCTTCCTCCTCCTTCTAAGCCTTCTCGTCCTCTTCCTCTCCAATTCTGTGTCTGTCCAGAAACTGTCTGTGGATATGGAACACCTGGTACCCCCCTTGGCTGGTACAATTGCATTTGATATTGTTCAGTTGAAGCTGTAACAGTGATTGTTGCTTTGGTTCACTCTGATTCTTCATAACCAAAGCTTCTCTTCTCCACCAGTTGTATGATTTAGTTTTCTGAGAGTTTATTCGTCCTGTTCTTTCTTGTTGACATATCAGGATTCTTCAACAGCTTATATTCTAAGTTCTGTCCTCAAAATATCATCTTCCATCATCTTCTTACTTTTCTTCTGTGCCAGTCCTTGTAGGACAAACTCCTTTTGAATACACAGCACCTTCAGTCTCCTCTTTCTCGCTGTCTTCATCTGAACTCGAATCTCTTGTATCCTTCTTCCTTCAACTTCCATCAGAGATCAAATCTCTAGTATCCTTCTTCTTTCCTCTCTTGCCAACTTCCTTCTGATCACAGAGTCATATCCACCCATGATCTCTTCTCCATCACTCTGATCTTCATCATCTTCTTCAAGTTCCATCTTCCTAACCTCCCTCTTCTCTTTCAGACATCTCATTTTCTTCCTTCTGGAGTTCTGGATTCATCTTCATTGTCGTTTCTGCTTGTCCTCTATCTATTATTCATCTTCATCTCTGATGCAACAATCACCCTCCTGGATGATCCCTGGAAGCTGAGGATAAACATCCCTAAGCTCTACTTCCCTTAGCCTTATCTCTATAGCTTTGTTTATCTTATCGCTGGAATCTTTTATCAGTTTTTGTTTGAGAATGAAGGGCAACTTTTGTTTCATTTGCCGGATAACCTAGCAATACTTTAGTTAAAGGATTACTATTTTGTACTATATCAATCGGTGTAATGACTTTTATAGCCTTGATGTCGTTTTTCCCCATTGTAACTACTCTTTTATATTCCTTTATTATGAATTATCTTATTTTAGACTGTATAGCCTATGGCTTCCCCCCTCTAATTATTAATATAACCCAAACAACCAATCAATTAAAAATCATGAATAATTAAAACCAATTTTTATTCCTATATCCTATGTCACCAATTTATCAATTAGTGGTGGCTATCTTACCACAACCCATCAAATGCAAATGTAAGTTAGTCAACTTCAAAGCAATCCCCAAAAACAAAGCCTCTAACCCTTCAACACTACAATTACCAAAAAACCTTATCTTAATTTTACAGAATAATGTCAGTCCTCGATTCCCAACACATCTGTAATTAACCCAAGTGATGCACATAGCCTCCAAAATGCAATTTTTAATTAATCAGTTTGCCAAGCCTATGTGAAATTGTCATAACATCAAATATTTTGTAAGGGATGATTTTGTGAACTAGCCTGATATCTGATCCTCTGCCTGCGTCACACCTTGTCACGTGACGCACGTCAGCACCCCTTCTCTTTCTCTCTCTCTCCTGTCGTATCGTCCTATTGCTCCTCTCATATGACAGAAGAACAGAGACACAGGAAAAGATTTTAGTAGTTACTGCAATCACTGAGTTATCTCAACCATATTCAACATTCCTTCGTTCACCCATTATTCACTCTAAGACTAAACTCAGAACTAAATAGATCGCTCAAAAACATTTTATTTAATTTTAATCGTCTTCTAATTCAATTTATTATAATCCGTCAACATATCTCTCTCATTTATCAATTCAATAGGTCACAAAACAAGTTTCATCTTTAACCAACCGCCGCTTTACAACTAGAAGACTCGTGTCCCAATATCTCTTTGTCTGTGTGTTTCTCTGTCTTCCTGCAGCCCCCAACAGAAATATGACCCATTAGCAAAAACGTGTTGTAGTTTAGTACCGTAAACCAAAACGTGTCCTAATCTCGTGCCATAAACTACAACTCCCACGTTTTGTAGTGTAGTGTCATAAAATTAAACGCATGCGCAAATGCATCCAATGATACGATTCCCAGACAATAGAACGATAGCATTACGCTACAGCTTCACTATTTTATCCCTTATACTCACACAATTACACATAACAGAGCTCACATTTGCGTATAACTTTGAATTCTACACACACATACATATTTTAAGAGGCTTATCCAATCGCAACAGGACCTCTAAGGATACGTTAGCATGTAGCACGCAACACAATTAGCATTTAGCATTAACATTAGCCTTAGCCTTTAGCTAACTGCGGCCTACCACGCCCTAAGTAACCTTGCATTGTGCCCAAATCATTGTCCATATATCACCTGCTAACTTTATGCTGCCGTAAGTTCTGGATAATCATATGAGCGGTTACCCCAAACGAATAATCCGTCGACTATAAGATGAGCATAACATACAATATCATCGTCCAGCTCATGGTTCCCAGAACCAACCTGACCCCACACTAGCGCGTTGCCAGGATTTCATGGCCCACTCCTAAAGAGTCGCCTCGTTTCGAGGTCTTTCCAGATTCACAATGCTCTAATTGCATATACGTATCTACCTTACTTTATTCTGCCAATATCTGCCGTTAATATCTGCCTTCAATTGCTGTACAATTTTAGAATAATTATTACCAGACTCCTAGTCAACAGCAATAACGCCACCCGAGGCACGGTCGTATGGTACATTTCTCCAGTGTACAATCACATAGCATCCAACCTAACAATCTCCAAAGCTGTGAGGAAAACTCACCCTTTTCTGGCACTTCAGACCGAAGTTAGCTTGGCGGCTACGAATGAGCAAAGGAGAGATGCAGACCAGCCCCACGTTGGGCGCCATTTGTCGTATCGGGTGAATGGTGGCAATTATTGCTGATGAACAAAGGAGTCCGCTCATACTGAATCCCTGATCATAAGTTTATTCGTATCACAAGCTATCAGCATGAGTGACAGATGTCATGACATCCGGAGAACGGCCTCTCAGATTGGAATGGCCGTTCTGCCCTTTCATCGTTTAACCCCTACTTATAAACAATGCAAAAAGATGGGCTCCCTCTTCTGGCCAATCACCAGTCTCCCCTGTCTACAACACACTTCCTGTCTGTTGTATGTGAAGTTACACTAAAACATTCCCTCTTGATACTAAAATCAACATTCTTTCAGTTCCACTTAAAAACATTTAACAACGTCATAATCTCAATACACGACAGTAGCTAGTAGCCTAGTCAATGATGCATCAATGCAATATTGGCACTCTACATTTTGTTACAGACCAACTAAACAAGTAAACCTTGAATTTATAGGTTTAAAATATCCCTCTAGTGGCCAGGGTTGACCTATTTTAAGAAATGCAATTTTTGGGTGGATATAAAGTCTGTGGTGGAGGACGTGCTTATCGTGACCATCTTGCTAGCCTTCACGCCTACGCGCCGCTCTCCTCCCACAATCTCCTGGCAACTTTGTACTCCTCCTTCTTCCCCTCCACCGTGAAGTCACTTGAATATACCCATTTATTGAACCCAGAAATGTGAAATAGTCTATCCTTGGTACTTACTGCTACAACCTTCCCTGCCAATTTAGTGTAACCCGTAGGCTCAGGTGTTACATTGGCCATTTGGAGGACCTCCTGGCATGCATTCCCATCCACCAGGTCCATGTTCCTAAACAACTTGGTTTCCGGTCGAAACATTAGGCCTCCAGCCTTCACAATTAAATTTTTGGTCAGGAACGTCTGTCCCTCCACCACCCTCTTTGCCAGGGTCTCTGGGACTACCACCCGGGCTACCGTGGTCCCATCGGAGACCGCGGCACAGAAGGTGGTTGAGGATGTGCTTATAGTGACTGTCTCGCTAGCCTTCACGTTGCTTTTATGACAATAACCTTGGCCTTTACAGGTTCAGGCCTGGCATAGGGGATTGTGGGGTTCAAGGCAATTCTTAATGCACTGGCCATGATCTGGAATAGGAAAATAAAAAGACATTACATTGTTATTGTAAGGGAAAACATACATATGATCATTAAAAGCTTCCTGTTGTAACAGAGATATGCTTCCTGGGGATTGGGCACTTTTTATTGGCTAAATCATTGTGCCATTTAAAACCCTTTATGCAAATAAAAAGTTTGTAGGTTTAGACTGCCATAGAGCCACAATGATTTAGACAATAGTTTTGTTATTGTTTGTGTTGTGATTGGATGTTTCATTTATGCTATGCTTATTCACTATCAACCATGTATATTTTGTCAAAAATAACCATAATTGACTCACTGATACCATGCAAGTTGCAACATGTGAACCGGTTTATCAGGTGTGGTGACAATGACAACACTGAAACATAGGTGTGTTTACAGCTGCCATAAGAGTTCTGTAAGCAGTTTGTGTCATCACCATTGTGAGTGTGCAGTAGATTTCTGACCAGAAGACGCACTGCTGTGTTCTACTTGGGATCAGATCTACGAACACAGTTGATGGTAAGAGATAGATTTATAAATACCACGTAGAAGTTCAGAGTCATGAGTAGATCATGTGATAACATAGTTATATTGTACAGTGTATACTGTACACTATAGTGTATCATTGACACCCCCCTGATTATAGGCCATTTGTTGAGACATTTTGTAATACTGAATAAGTTGTAGCCTACTGTTTGAAAAAGTGCCCAATCCCCAGGAAGCATATCTCTGTTACAACAGGAAGCTTTTCTCTACAGTGCTTCATGAGACCTGATGACAAGGACAGTATGCAACAGAGTTTAATGGTGTGTGTGTGTGTGTGTGTGTGTGTGTGCGTGCATGGTTTTCCATCTACCCCTGCAGACCTGTCTGTGTTCCTGACAATCGATTATAGTGGAGTGGTAGATTGGGATTCTAAATTGGAAGAAGATTTGAAAAATGAAAAGAATGCCTTCCAGACTACTTCTAGGTATGTTAAATCCTTATCAGCACACTTGAAGGTGTATGCTCATGGAAGAAGACTCATACAATCAAAACTCCAGTATTATATTTCAATGTTTTATTTGTAATTATTTTGGCTTCCACATATTATAATGTGATTTACAGTAATCCACACCATCACATTTAGCTGTTGGTTAGGCAAGCAGTTGTATTTTGAGGTTTAAAATCAAAGCTAAGACTTTTTGTAGTTGGAATTGCAGTATGTATTCGGCATTTGCCAAGCACAGGAATGTTAGCACAAAACAGGTCTGGACCTATGTCAGTAGGTGCTGTAGGTGGGTGTGGTGTAGAATCAGGCGCAGGACGCAGAAGTTAAGTCCAACAAAGACTTTTAGTAGAGCACACAAAAATACAATCCAAACAGCCCGGAGGCGAGAAAATGCGCACACAGGCGTAAACAAACGGGCGCACTAAACATGTGCAAAATTCCTCTCCTAAAAATACAAGGAGGCAAGCTACAAATAGCGCACCGAAACGGGTAGCGCACCAACACGACAATGGGAACAATTCCAGACAAGACCAAACGAACATAGAAACATACAACGGTGGCAGCTAGTATTCCGGAGACGACGAACGCCGAAGCCTGCCCGAGCAAGGAAGAGAGGCAGCCTCGGCCGAAACCGTGACAGTACCCCCCCCCTTGACGCGCGGCTCCAGACGTGCAACCGACTCCGGCCTCGGGGACGACCAGGAGGACGCGGGGCAGGGCGCGTCGGGTGACTACGATGGAATTCCGTCAGGAGAGACGGGTCCAAAATGTCTCCCCTCGGCACCCAGCACCGTTCCTCCGGGCCGTACCCCTCCCACTCCACCAGATATTGGAGACCCCCCATCCGACGTCTCGAATCCAAGATGGGACCGCACTGAGTACGCCGGTGCCCCCTCGATGTCCAATGGGGGCGGAGGAGTCTCCCTGATCTCATTTTCTTGGAGTGGGGCCAGCTACCACCGGCCTGAGAAGAGACACATGGAACGAGGGGTTAATACTTTTATACTCACAGTAGTTGTAATCTGTAACACACCTCGTTCAATCTTCTCAGACTTTAAATGGCCCCACAAACCGCCGACCCAGCTTCCGGCAGGTGCAGGCGGAGGGGCAGGTTTCTGGTAGAGAGCCAGACTCAATCACCAGGTGCGTACACCGGTCCCTCACTGCGGTGGAGATCGGCGCTCGCCTTTTGACGACGGAGGGCCCGCTGCAGGTGGACGTGTGCAGCGTTCCACGTCCTCCTCCGAGCGCCGCACCCACTCATCCACCGCAGGAGCCTCGATCTGGCTCTGCTGCCAAGGGTGCCATAACCGGCTGGTAACCTAACACACATTGGAAAGGGGTTAGGTTAGTGGAGGAATGGCGTAGGGAATTCTGGGCCATTTCTGCCCCAGGGAACGTACCGTGCCCACTCCTCCGGCCGTCCTGGCAGTAAGATCTAAGAAACCTACCCACATCCTGGTTCACACGTTCCACCTGCCCATTACTCTCCGGATGGTAACCCGAGGTGAGGCTCACCGAGACCCCCAACCGCTCCATAAAGGCTCTCCAGACTCTGGAGGTAAATTGGGGACCTCGATCAGACACAATATCCTCGGGTACCCCGTAGTGCCGGAAAACATGGGTGAATAGCGCTTCGGCGGTCTATAGGGCCGTAGGAAGGCCCGGCATAGGGAGCAAACGACAGGCCTTAGAGAACCGGTCCACAACGACCAGTATAGTAGTATTCCCCTGTGAGGGAGGAAGGTCAGTGATGAAATCCACCGAGAGGTGAGACCATGGTCGTTGTGGAACGGGCAGGGGTAGTAACTTACCCCTAGGCAGATGTCTAGGCGCCTTACACTGGGCACACACCGAGCAGGAGGAGACATAAACCCTCACATCCCTCGCCAACGTGGGCCACCAGTACTTAGCACTAAGGCAGTGCACTGTCCGGCCGATACCAGGATGTCCAGAGGAGGGTGACGTGTGAGCCCAATAGATCAATCGATCCCGAACCTCGAGCGGAACGTACTTCCGACCCTCCGGACATTGAGGTGGACTAGGGTCGGTGCGCAGCGCCCGCTCGAGTTCAGCATCGACCTCCCACACTACCGGTGCCACCAGACAACATTTACATTTACATTTTAGTCATTTAGCAGACGCTCTTATCCAGAGCGACTTACAGTTAGTGAATACATATTTTTGTATACTGGCCCCCTGTGGGAATCGAACCCACAACCCTGGCGTTGCAAACGCCATGCTCTATCAACTGAGCTACATCCCTGCCGGCCATTCCCTCCCCTACCCTGGACGACGCTGGGCCAATTGTGCGCCGCCCATGAGTCTCCCGGTCGCGGCCGGCTGCGACAGAGCCTGGATTCGAACCAGGATCTCTAGTGGCACAGTTAGCACTGCGATGCAGTGCCTTAGACCACTGCGCCACTCAGGAGTTGACAAGACTCCGGCAGACAAGACTCCGGCAGTATGGGAGTGAGCTCCACTGACCTCTCCTCCGTGTCATACCGCCGAGACAGCGCGTCTGCCTTACCGTTCTGTGACCCAGGGATGTATGTGATCTTAAATATGAACCGGGTCAAAAACATATTCCACCGCGCCTGGCGAGGGTTTAGTCTCCTAGCTGCCCGGATGTACTCCAGGTTACGGTGGTCCGTCAAAATGAGGAAAGGGTGTTGAGCCCCCTCAAGCCAGTGCCTCCACACCTTTAGGGCCTGTACCACGGCTAACAGCTCCCTGTCCCCTACGTCCTAATTTCGCTCCGCCGGACTGAGCTTCTTGGAATAAAAAGCACAGGGGCGGAGTTTAGGTGGCGTGCCGGACCGTTGCGAAAGCACGGCTCCTATACCGGCCTCTGACGCGTCCACCTCTACCTGAAATGGTAAAGAGGGATCCGTATGCGCCAGCACCGGAGCCGAGGTAAACAGGTCCTTCAGCCTCCCAAACGCCCTGTCCGCCTCGGCTGACCACTGCAGACGCACCGGACCCCCCTTCAAAAGAGACGTTATGGGAGCTGCCACCTGTCCAAAACCCCGGATAAACCTCCGGTAGTAATTCGCAAACCCCAAAAACTGCTGCACCTCCTTCACAGTGGTTGGCGTTTGCCAATTACGCACGGCTGACACCCGGTCTACCTCCATCTTCACCCCTGACGCAGACAACTGATAACCCAAAAAGGAGACCGACTCCTGGAAAAACAGACACTTCTCTGCCTTGACATACAGGTTGTGCTCCAACAGCCTCCGCAACACTCGGCGCACCAGTGCCACATGCTCGACTCGGGTAGACGAGTACACGAGAATGTCATCTATGTACACGACCACCCCCTGCCCCTGCATGTCCCTGAAGATCTCATCTACGAATGATTGGAAAACTGAAGGAGCGTTCATCAACCCGTATGGCATGACAAGATACTCGTAATGGCCCGAGGTGGTGCTAAAGGCTGTCTTCCATTCATCGCCCCCCCCTAATGCGCACCAAGTTGTCGCGCTCCTGAGATCTAATTTAGTGAAGAAACGCGCCCCGTGCAATGACTCCGTCATGGTCGCAATCAGCGGGAGTGGATAACTGTACTTCACCGTGATCTGATTGAGACCACGGTAATCAATGCACGGGCGTAACCCACCATCCTTTTTCTTCACAAAAAAGAAACTTGAGGACGCAGGGGAAGTGGAGGGCCGTATGTATCCTTGTCTCAGAGATTCGTCTATGTAAGTCTCCATAGCTCTCTTCTCCTCCTGAGACAGAGGATACACATGGCTCCGTGGGAGCGCAGCTCCTGCCTGGAGGTCTATCGCACAATCTCCCTGCCTATGGGGAGGCAACTGCGTCGCCCTCGACTTACTGAACACAATAGCCAAATCCCCATACTCAGGGGGAACGTGCAATGCGGGCACCTGGTTTGGACTCTCCACCGAGGTAGCCCCTACGGAAACGCCTAAACATCGACCCACACACTGGGCAGACCACTCCATCAGAGCTCTCTCCTGCCACGAAATGAACGGGTTATGGGTACTCAACCAGGGCATGCCCAGCACCACCGGATACGCAGGCGAGTCGATCAGAAATAGCTGGATCATCTCCTGATGACCCCCCTGCGCACACATCCTAAGTGGCGCCGTGACCTCCCTGATCAAACCCGATCCCAACGGACGGCTATCTAGGGCATGAACAGGGAAGGGGACGTCAACAGGGAGAAGGGGAATCCCTAAGGCTAAACAAAATGTCTTATCAACAAAATTCCCAGCCGCGCCTGAATCTACCAGCGCCTTATGCTGGGAATGAGGTGCTACCTGTGGAAAACGCACAGGTATACAGAAGTGCGCAACAGAGAGCTCTGGGTGAGTGGGGCGCCTACTCACCTGGAAGGACTCCCCAGTGCGGGGCCTGTCGTCTTCTCCCCTAGGAGGCCATCCCCAGCACCTAGCCGCGGTGTGTCCTCCCCGACCACAGTTGGTGCAGGAGATGGACCCCCTCGTACTCCGACCCCTCCTCTCTCTAGCGCCAGCGCCCCCGAGCTCCATGGGGCTCGGCTCGGAGACGCTGGAGGGTGAAATGGACGGACCTCCCTCGGGACGTCCGCGGGTAGCCAGCAGGGTGTCCAGCCTGATGGACATGTCGACTAACTGGTCGAAAGAGTGGCTGGTGTCCCGACAGGCCAGCTCCCGACGGACGTCCTCACGTAGACTACAGCGGTAGTGATCGATGAGGGCCCGCTCATTCCACCCTGCATCCGCCGCTAGAGTACGGAATTCCAACGCGAACTCCTGGGCACTCCTCTTCCCCTGCCGGAGGCAGAACAGACGCTCCCCCGCCGCTTTCCCCTCTGGTGGATGGTCAAACACCGCCCTGAAGCGGCGGGAGAACTCAGCGTAAGTGATGGTGGTCGCGTCTATCCTCCTCCACTCGGCGTTGGCCCATTCTAACGCCTTGCCGGAAAGGCAGGAGATAAGGGCGGACACGCTCTCGTGTCCCGAGGGCGCCGGGTGCACGGTGGCCAGGTAAAGCTCCACCTGGAGAAGGAAGCCCTGACACCCGGCAGCGGTCCCATCGTAGGCCCTCGGGAGCGAGAGTCGAACTCCTCTGGGTTCCGGAGCGGGAATGGGCTGATTTGCTGATGGTGATGGTAGGGACGGTGGCGTTGGGGGTGTTCCTCGGGTCTCCCAGCGTTGGAGCGTGTTGATCACATCCTGCAGGGCGGTCCCGATCCGCAGAACCTGGTCGTTCTGCTCCCGAACCCGATCCTCCAACGTCTCCTGTGCTGCTGCGGCTCCTGCTGATTCCATTCAGAAGGTGAGTGATTCTGTCAGTAGGTGCTGTAGGTGGGTGTGGTGTGGAATCAGGCGCAGGACGCAGAAGTTAAGTCCAACAAAGACTTTTAGTAGAGCACACAAAAATACAATCCAAACAGCCCGGAGGCGAGAAAATGCGCACACAGGCGTAAACAAACGGGCGCACTAAACATGTGCGAAAATCCTCTCCTAAAAATACAAGGAGGCAAGCTACAAATAGCGCACCGAAACGGGTAGCGCACCAACACGACAATGGGAACAATTCCAGACAAGACCAAACGAACATAGAAACATACAACGGTGGCAGCTAGTATTCCGGAGACGACGAACGCCGAAGCCTGCCCGAGCAAGGAAGAGAGGCAGCCTCGGCCGAAACCGTGACAACCTATTAGGTGATCTTCTCTCCTCTCTTCCTTTAGTGTGCAGCAATATACTCCCGGTTGCCCTGCTAATTGCTAACATCGCCATGGGTGAGTAGATGAATTAAAACTATTTTGTCCTGAACCGCATTTTACTTTTGTACTTGAGCCACTATAATATCTCTGTTTCTGCAACTGCCCTCCTAGCTGTAGAAATAGCTTCTGTTTCTATGTTCCCAACATGTGCGTTACAACTGTACAGGTGCGGTGTACCTGAACGACTGCCCTCGACAGCCTTACATCCCCATCTATCTGATAGTTCTGGGGGCCTTTGGCCTGGTCACCATCCTCCCCTTCTGCTTCTGCCAGCCCAATCTGGTGCTTGTCTGCACCCTCTGGAACGGCCTGTTGGACACATTCCTGTTCTGCTGGTTCATCAATGGTGAGTCTGAGGGGTGTCTGTGGGGAGGTGGGGGGTAGTGTGTGTGTGTGTGTGTGTGTGCGTGTACCCTGGGTGAGTGTGTGTGGCCAGGTGGGGGTGGTGTGCGTGGGTTTGCGTACGGACGAAGGGATGGATTGTTGATTATAAATCTATAATGCTTGAGACATGCATATGAACTTGATCCTGTGTAGAGATTCGTACCAGTCCTACAAATTCTCTTTCTCTCTCTCTCTCTCTCTCTCTCTCTCTCTCTCTCTAGGTAACGTGTGGATCTACTCCATCTATCAGCCTAACTACAACCAGACTCTGACTGAGAAGGACCCGTACCAGTCCAACTACAACCAGACTCTGACTGAGAAGGATTTGTACTGTAACAAGACCCTGTACCTGTTTGCCTTCTGGACCACCACACTGAATTACTTGATATTGTTGAGTCTGTGCGTGGTTCTTTGTTGTTGTTGCTGTGGTGTCGCAATATGTGCTTGTATAGAAGGAGGACCTGAGGTAGAAAGGGTTCCGATGGGAGAGAGTGGTGATCCGGAAGGGGAGATTTAGAAAAAGGTTTAGTACAAGGTTTCCCATCCCTTTCCTCAGCCCCCTCCCCCCCCTCCAGTTTAGGTTTAAAACAAAAATGTGAAATGTCTGGGGGGCCGAGGAGAGGGTTGGGAAACCCTGGTTCATGTTAACACTTTACATTAGGGTAGATCTACTTTATATGAGTTTATAATACTTTACATGAGGGAATATCCAAAGGGAGGTTGTAAAGGGTTTTTATAGATAGTAAATTATTACTGTAGTTTATAAACACATAACTCATTGGTTCAAATGGTGTGATTGTTATTTTGGCGCTTGCCAATAGTGAGCTAATATGTGGATGCACTGTTACCAATAACAGTAGCCTAATAATCAATTACAGTGCAGCCATATAGTCTGGTTTATGTGAAGAAAATAAACAAATTAAAGGATAAATATGGACTCGTTCTGCACCCCTACAGTATGTGCAGCAGAGACAGTAGTGGTGCATGAGTAAAATCACTGAGAATGCCTGAAATAAATCATTAGGGAGCCAGAAAAAAATGCCATATTACAACCTATGTGTTGATAATTGCATTGTTTGCTCTATAACCTGTTAGTGCATATGCCTTGCGACTGTGATATATAGACCTAATGCCGAGACACAGTGGTAAGAAAACACAGTGGCAGAATAAATTCAACCACACCTTTGTTTCATCACAAAACTGGAGCGCAACCTCTGTCCGGTTTAGTCCACAAAGCATATCGCATGTAGCAAAAAGTTACATGACCTACAGCATAGGTTGTAATATGGCTATTTTCCAACATTTTCGGACTACTAAACAACTATTGATTTAGAACCAAGGAGAGTTACCGCAAGTCACAAAGAAAACAGGACCTGTGTCTACTATTCCAGCACCATTTCAACTTCAACATTTCAACAACATCGAATCCAAGATGGCGTAGTAGTGCGGTCGCGTATTCTGTTGTCTGCTCGTGTTAATAGCCTGTTAGTTTTTTTGTTGTTGTCTTTTTTTCGTATATATTTCTCTATCTCACTTTCCATCCTTTAACTAAATATACTTTCCTGCAACCCGCCTCACCCAATGTAGAACGGATTCTATTATTTCTTTATTTTTATCAAGAACCTACGGCTGAAACTAGCCAGCTAGCCAGCTAACTAGCTACTTGCTATTAGCCACCATTAACGGTCTTCACCACTGTCCGTGGCCTGCACTACCTACCAGCCAGCTCTAGCCTGGACAATTATCGGCCAGTCTGCACAGCGTGCTATCGACCCAGAGCATATCGGATTTTCTGCCGGAATCACTGAATCACTGGACCTTAACTCCAGACCATCACAACTAGCTAGCTGCAACCGAATGGATGTTGTTGTTGGCTAATCACCACTGTCCCGACGTACCAGTTAGCCTTGAGCTAGCCTTGAGCCAGGCCCATCTCCCGGCTATCTACCTCTCTGTCAACCGGATGGGACCTCCTAGTGTTGACACGGAGCCCCGCCGATCCATCACGACTGGTCTGCCGACGTAATCGTCTGATGTGGTTTCAACAGGCTTCCCGTTGCGATGACCACGAAGATCCATCTGCTAGCCCCGGCCCGCTAGCACGCGCGATCAACAGCCGTGCCTCCTGCTCGCCTGTGCTGTAACAGCCTACGAACTGCTCCCGGACTTACTTATTGCTGTTCACTGGACTTTATGATCACTCAGCTACACAGCTAATGCCTGCTGGACTGTTCCTTTACACAGTACCCCATCCTGTTTATCTGTTTAGCCTCAGCCCAAACTTTCGTCGCCATTACCAGTTGTTGTCTTAGCCCTCTCGAATAACACCTGTGATTGCGTTATGCCTCTCTCCCATGTCAATATGCCTAGCCTATTGCTGTTTGGGTTAATTCTTATTATACAATTTCACTGTAGACCCCCAAGTCCCGCTCAACCAGCCTCAGAGAGCTCCTTTGTCCCAACCCCCATACACGCGGAGACCGGCTCAACCGGTACCTCCAGCGATGCTATCTCTTTCATAGTTACCCAATGCTTAGGTGTACCTCCACTGTACTCATAACCATAATGCTCTGAATCTATTCTACAACGCCCGGAAATCTGCCCCTTTTATTCTCTGTACCCAAAGCACTAGAAGACCAGTTCTTAAAGCCTTTAGCCGTATCCTTATTCTATTCCTCCTATGTTCCTCTGGTGATGTAGAGGTTAGCCCAGGCCCTGTAGCCCCCAGTATCACTCCTACCACCCAGGCGCTATCATTTGTTGACTTCTGTAACCAAAAAAGCCTTGGTTTCTTGCATGTTAACATCAGAAGCCTCCTCCCCAAGTTTGAGTTATTCACTGCGTTAGCACACTCTGCCAACCCTGATGTTCTAGCAGTGTCTGAATCTTGGCTTATGAAGGCCACCAAAAATTCAGAAATGTCCATCCCGAACTACAACATTTTCCGTCTAGATAGAACTGCTAAAGGGGGCGGAGTTGCAATCTACTGTAGAGATAGCCTGCAGAGCTCTATCATACTATCCAGGTCTGTGCCCAAACAGTTTGAGCTTCTACTTCTAAAAATCCACCTTTCCAGAAATAAGTCTCTCACTGTTACCGCTTGCTACAGACCCTCCTCAGCCCCCAGTTGTGCCCTGGACACCATGTGAATTCCTTGCCCCCCATCTATCCTCAGAGTTCGTACTGCTTGGTGATCTAAACTGGGATATGCTTAACTGTCACGCTCGTTGATTGACGGGACGGACCAAGGCGCAGCGTGATATGCATACATGTTTATTTTAACTTAATAAACACTCGACAAAACAATAAACCAACGACACGTGAAGTCCTAAGGTAACACACAACAAACCTTACACGGAACAAGATCCCACAACCCACTAGTGCCAATAGGCTGCCTAAGTATGGTCCCCAATCAGAGACAACGAACGACAGCTGCCTCTGATTGGGAACCACACCGGCCAACATAGAACCATACATACATATTAGGGGTGTAACGATCCATCTACTACATCGATGTATCGATTTATATTCCTATGATCCAACTACATCGATCTGTGCTCGGCGAGTTGGCCTTTTTGACAACATATATCGATCTAACATCGTTTTAAAATGTAATAAATCGATTGTATCGATACTAGGAAATAACCCATTGGATTTAAGCACGTCAGACTTTATATGGATGTTTTTTCTTAGCACTTTTAATGATAAAGGCTTTAAACATTACTCGATTCAGTCTGCCTATCCGTGACGTCATCGCGCCAGCAGCAGCGCAAAGGCGCCAAGACAACAAAACATAGCATGGCGGACTACAGAGGAGAAGCCGACGAGCGAGAAATTATCAAGCCACCATTGCGGTCCTTACAAGAAACAGGAATCTAGGAAACTTCACCTGCACTGTCCAGTATCCAGGTATTTATTTCAGTCACACTGGTTGAATTTTTGGCTAAAAGGTTACTGAATCGATTTCAAGTCACTGAATCGTTTCGGATCGTATCGTTCTAAATGAACCAATATCGTCCTTGAATCGTATCGACAACCACGAATCGTGATACAAATCGAATCGTTGTTAAAACGAATCGTTACACCCCTAATACATATTGTAAAGTGGTTATCCCACTGGCTATAAGGTGAATGCACCAATTTGTAAGTCGCTCTGGATAAGAGCGTCTGCTAAATGACGTAAAAGTAAAATGTAACTAGCCGGTTGACTCTGCACTGGTACCCCCCTGTATATATAGTGGGGAGAATCTAAAACAAAAATCCAGAAAATCACATTGTATGATTTTTAAGTAATTCATTTGCATTTTATTGCATGATATAAGTATTTGATCACCTACCAACCAGTAAGAATTCCAGCTCTCACAGACCTGTTAGTTTTTCATTAAGAAGCCCTCCTGTTCTCCACTCATTACCTGTATTAACTGCACCTGTTTGAACTCGTTACCTGTATAAAAGACACCTGTCCACACACTCAATCAAACAGACTCCAATCTCTCCACAATGGCCAAGACCAGAGAGCTGTGTAAGGACATCAGGGATAAAATTGTAGACATGTACAAGGCTGGGATGGGCTACAGGACAATAGGCAAGCAGCTTGGTGAGAAGGCAACAACTGTTGGCGCCATTATTAGAAAATGGAAGATCATGTGGTCTGATGAGACAAAAATAGAGCTTTTTGGTCTAAACTCCACTCGCCGTATTTGGAGGAAGAAGAAGGATGAGTACAACCCCAAGAACACCATCCCAACCGCTTTTCTGCAAAGGGGACAGGACGACTGCACCGTATTGAGGGGAGGATGGATGGGGCCATGTATCGCGAGATCTTGGCCAACAACCTCCTTCCCTCAGTAAGAGCATTGAAGATGGGTCGTGGCTGGGTCTTCCAGAATGACAACGACCCGAAACACACAGCCAGGGCAACTAAGGAGTGGCTCCGTAAGAAGCATCTCAAGGTCCTGGAGTGGCCTAGCCAGTCTCCAGACCTGAACCCAATAGAAAATCTTTGGAGGGAGCTGAAAGTCCGTATTGCCCAGCGACAGCCCCGAAATCTGAAGGATCTGGAGAAGGTCTGTATGGAGGAATGGGCCAAAATCCCTGCTGCAGTGTGTGCAAACCTGGTCAAGACCTACAGGAAACGTATGATCTCTGTAATTGCAAACAAAGGTTTCTGTACCAAATATTAAGTTCTGCTTTTCTGATGTATCAAATACTTATGTCATGCAATAAAATGCAAATTCATTACTTAAAAATCATACAATGTGATTTTCTGGATTTTTGTTTTAGATTCCGTCTCTCACAGTTGAAGTGTACCTATGAAAAAATGACAGACCTCTACATGCTTTGTAAGTAGGAAAACCTGCAAAATCAGCAGTGTATCAAATACTTGTTCTCCCCACTGTATATACAGGGGGGTACCGGTGCAGAGTCAATGTGCGGGGGCACCGGCTAGTTGAGGTAGTTGAGGTAATATGTACATGTGGGTAGAGTTAAAGTGACTACGCATCAATAATTAACAGAGTAGCAGCAGCATAAAAAGATGGGGTGGGGGTAGTAGTCTCCCTAGTGTTATTTTATTTTACTTCTGCACTTTTTTTCTAAACACTTTTTTGTTGTTGTTGTTTTATTTTACTTTTTTATTAAGAAATAAATGCATTGTTGGTTAAGGGCTGTAAGTAAGCATTTCAGGGTAATGTCTACACCTGTTATATTCGGCGCATGTGGCAAATACCATTTTATTTTATTTTATTTGAACCAGAGTTACACTGTTAGTACTGAGGCGGTGTGCCCTAGTAGGTCAGGTCTAATATAAATGACATGAGCAAGTACAGTTGAAGTCGGAAGTTTACATACACCTTAGCCAAATACATTTAAACTCAGTTTTGACAATTCCTGTCATTTAATCCTAGTAAAAATTCCCTGTTTTAGGTTAGTTAGGATCACCACTTTATTTTAAGAATGTGAAATGTCAGAATAATAGTAGAGAGAATGATTTATTTCAGCTTTTATTTATTTTATCACATTCCCAGTGGGTCAGAAGTTTAGATATACTCAATTAGTATTTGGTAGCATTGCCTTTAAATTGTTTAACTTGGGTCAAACATTTCGGGTAAGCTTCCACAATCTTCCCACAATAAGTTGGGTGAATTTTGGCCCATTCCTCCTGACAGAGCTGGTGTAACTGAGTCAGGTTTGTAGGCCTCCTTGCTCGCACATGCTTTTTCAGTTCTGCCTACAAATGTTCTATAGGATTGAGGTCAGGGCTTTGTGATGGCCACTCCAATACCTTGACTTTGTTGTCCTTAAGCCATTTTGCCACAACTTTGGAAGTATGCTTGGGTTCATTGTCCATTTGGAAGACCCATTTGCGACCAAGATTTAACTTCCTGACTGATGTCTTGAGATGTTACTTCAATATATCCACATCATTTTCTTTCAATTTTTGTTTCATCAGACCAGATGACATTTCTCCAAAAAGTACGATCTTTGTCCCTATGTGCAGTTGCAAACCGTAGTCTGGCTTTTTTATGGCGGTTTTGGAGCAGTGGCTTCTTCCTTGCTGAGCGGCCTTTCAGGTTATGTCGATATAGGACTTGTTTTACTGTGGATATAGATACTTTTGTACCTGTTTCCTCCAGCATCTTCACAAGGTCCTTTGCTGTTGTTCTGGGATTGATTTGCACTTTTCGCACCAATGTACGTTCATCTCTAGGAGACCGAACGCGTCTCCTTCCTGAGTGGTATGACGGCTGCGTGGTCCCATGGTGTTTATACTTGCGTACTATTGTTTGTACAGATGAACGTGGTACCTTCAGGCGTTTGGAAATTGCTCCCAAGGATGAACCAGACTTGTGGAGGTCTACAATTGTTTTTCTGAGGTCTTGGCTGATTTCTTTTGATTTTCCCATGATGTCAAGCAAAGAGGCACTGAGTTTGAAGGTAGGCCTTGAAATACATCCACAAGCACACCTCCAATTGACTCAAATTATGTCAATTAGCCTATCAGAAGCTTCTAAAGCCATGACATCATTTTCTGGAATTTTCCAAGCTGTTTAAAGGCACAGTCAACTTAGTGTATGTAAACTTCTGAACCACTGGAATTGTGATACAGTGAATTATAAGTGAAATAATCTGTCTGTAAACAATTGTTGGAAAAATTACTTGTGTCATGCTCAAAGTAGATGTCCTAACCGACTTGCCCAAACTATAGTTTGTTAACAAGAAATTTGTGGAGTGGTTGAAAAACAAGTTTTAATGACTCCAACCTAAGTGTATGTTAACTTCCGACTTCAACTGTATTTATTTTTTATCAGGGGATGCTGCAGCATCCTCAGCACCCCTACTTCTTGCAGCTATGTACACAACATGAAACAAATTTTTGTGTGTATTGAATACTGTACTTTAGTCTATGTATTGAATACTGTACTTTAGTCTATGTATTGAATACTGTACTTTAGTCTATGAATTGAATACTGTACTTTAGTCTATGTATTGAATACTGTACTTTAGTCTATGTATTGAATACTGTACTTGAGTCTATGTATTGAATACTGCACTTTAGTCTATGTATTGAATACTGTATAGTTTTATCAATAAGTGATTTGAGGTCTGTGTTCATTTCCATGCCATTGGACATCCATTCACTATGATTTCAGCATTTGAAATAAAGTTAATAAAATGAAGTTAGTAAAGTTCATAAAATAAATTAGTAAAGTTAATCAAATGTAATAATATGTGCTAACTATAGTGTGTGTGTTTATCTTATGCATTATCTATCTTGTAAGTGGCACATTGTCTAGTGAATATAAACTGCAACTGGAATCTTTAGATGTCTGAGTTTTTGCTGTCTGCAATTAAGTAAATAAAAACTTTGAACCTTGAACCATCTATCATTTTAAGTCAGATTTTAAGTCCATTAAAATAACTGTTCAGAGACCAATCCTGTGTCTATATACCTTCAGAGTTAAAGGAATCACAAAAGATGGAGACAGAAGTCTCCAGTTCTGTCTGCTGTACCTCTCATACAGTATAACAACATAATATGAGTGTTCAGTATTTTCAGCATGGTGTTGAGTTTGTGATCTCTCTCTCTCTCTTAAAAAAATAGCAAATTCTTCTTCTGAGTCTCAAGATTACATAGTCATTCTGAATGACGCATACATGCAACAGTACAGACGTTGGTTGATACGAAACAATGTTTCAGTTGAACAATGAGAACATTCAGACATCTGCTACTTTGTCATGTTGTCTGATGCAGAGTGAAATTCAGCAGCTTGAGTCAGTTCAAGGTTTGGTTTGTCATGAGTTGAGGCCTCTGAGAATACTGTGTCCTTTGTGATCTGGGTCACAGGGTTAAGGAAAACCCTTTTATATTTCAAACCGTTTTAACTAATGTGTAAGCAATTAAGCAGGCTAATCATGTTATGATTATAAACAAAAAATATGTGAAGATACTGTAGTTCGCACGGTGTGGATGCATGAGAACTCTGTGGCACCAAAAACAAACTGGTATAAACAAGTATTTTTGTCACTGCAATGAAAAATAAAGCAAATAAGAAAAAACTGCTCTCCTTACAAAATATTTCATTTTCTATGAATGTATTCGTTGAATGTGTGTTTACTGTAGTCAGTGGAACCTGGCATTTCATTATTCTAATGTCGAGAGACTGTGGCTGTGGTGGTACATTTCGAATCTCCCCCAATGGCGTAGAGGTCAACATGAACCAATGGCGTAGAGGTCAACATGAACCAATGGCGTAGAGGTCAACATTGCACAAGTGGGGGTTTGACCCTTCCAATGTAAGATGATACATTTGAAAACAAAACCAACTTGTTAACTGCTACCACAGTACTGTAACTTAAATAAAGTTGTCCTACTCTGATCTCTGTTTTCAGTTTCAAAACAAGTCAAAGTAGAGTAGACTACTTGTGGAGGACCCTTTTCGATTCAAATGGCAGGCAAGTGAACTACAATAGAGACCATTATATTTTATTATCAGCGGTATTTTAAACACAGGGTAGGCCAATCTTAAATGTGACTCTGCAGATAGAGCTTAAAGCATTACGTTTGTACGTTTGTGTTGATTTTATTTTCTTCTGTGTCCTCCTACTCCTCATATCCCGTGCACAGACAACGCCAAAGTGAAGGAACTTGTTTCAAAGTGCATCCAGGCACGGGAAATGGCATATTGCCCTTACAGCCGGTTCACGGTCGGTGCCGCCATATTGACAGCAGAGGGCGCTATAATCAAAGGTAATATCTTAGAAATTACTGACTAACGTCACCTTTCCACTATCAACAGCAGCACATTTTACATTTTACGCTCATTGAAGTCAAATGAATTTCGACATGGAACGTATGTGTGTGTTTGTTTGTGTAATAGGTTGCAATGTGGAAAATGCCTCTTTTGGGCTCACAGTGAGCCGTAGCAGAGGGACATAGGAAATTCACTGCTATTGCTGTTACATGGTGAGATACTAGCCATGTAGCCCTCTAAATCATACCTTTTAAATTACTTATTAGACTGGTGAAACTGAACATATTGACCTGTTTATAACCATGATCTATAATAACCAGTCTAACCATGTCTGTCTCTCTCTCTCTCTCTCTCTCTCTCAATTCAAAGGTCTTTATTGGCATGGGAAACACATGTTTACATTGACAAAGCAAGTGAAATAGATAATAAACAAAACTGAAAAAAAAACAATAAAAAATTAACAGTAAACAGTACACTCAAAAAAGTTCCAAAGGAATAGAGACATTTCAAATGCCATATTATGTCTATATATAGTGTTGTAACGATGTGCAAATAGTTAAAGTACAAAGGGGAAAATAAATACTCTCTCTCTCTGTCTGTGTGTGTTCTGTAGTGGCATTGTGGAGCTTCTCCCCAGCCCACTTGGAAATTAACTGAAACAGCCATGGGCATAGCCATACACATTTACAGTAATTCTCACAATATAGATATGATATTTCATATTTCAAATACTACTTCTCGCCACATTCTGTCTAGGCCTAGTGGTACAGCCAGGCCGAATTTATATTTAGAAACATTATATCATATTTTTTTCAGAAGAGAGAGAAAATACTTGCCTGGCTACACACTCCTTCCTGTGGCCAAACGCTACACCACGCCCACGGACGTTAGTTTAGTTTGACTCATCAGGCTAAGAATCAAACTATGTTCAATACACTTAAATGTCTGTATGCATTAAATAAAACCATATGATTTTAACATTTACATTTACATTTACGTCATTTAGCAGACGCTCTTATCCAGAGCGACTTACAAATTGGTGCATTCACCTTATAGCCAGTGGGATAACCACTTTACAATATGTTTTTTTTTTTTGGGGGGGGGGGGGGGGGGGGGGGGTAAGGGGGGTGGAAGGATTACTTTAACGTTTTTGTAGCGTCATTTGTAAGTGACAATGAAACTTTATGTATTTATTATTATTGTTTTTAGTATCATTATTATTATTGTTTTCGCATATGATGTAGCAAAAACGTGTTCCATTGGAAACATGGAAATTATATAATTTTTGCTAGAATGATTGGTAGTCACTAGTTACCACAGCCATGAATTGTATCGATATAGGCACTTTTGACTTTGTGGCTGTGGTATCCAGTGGAAACCAGAATGATCAGGCTTGTCACGTGGTAAAAGTGGGCGTTTCCAGTCAGTTACTTCTGGAAACATGGAGGCTGTTGTGAGCGATTTGGTATCTCCCGAAGACCTTTTGGTGAGTTCACGTTTTATTATTCTCATGATTTATAACGTAGCTGTATGATGTTTAGACAACATGTTGTCGTAGATACCCAGCTACATTCGTTAATATTTGATCAAACGTTTACAACTGTCTAGCTGTAGAAGTGAAACATATGCTAGCTAACGTTAGCCATATTGCTAGTAGCTAGCTGTGTCATTCCTTACACATCATCACTTACACCAGCTGCGTTCTGGTATGTCATTTTGCCGAACTACACAGTATACAGATATGTATGAAGCCTTTTGATGGATATCCAAAGGAAAGTTTAAAAGCCAATTGTTGAGCACATTAAGTTTATCATATTGTTTACATTTACGTCATTTAGCAGATGCTCTTATCCAGAGCGACTTACAAATTGGTGCATTCAACTTATGATAGCCAGTGGGACGACCACTTTTTTTATGTTTCTTTTTATTTAATTTTTACTTTTTTTTATGGGGGGGGGGTAGAAGGATTACTTATACTATTCCAGGTATTCTTAAAGAGGTGGGGTTTCAAGTGTCTCCGGAAGGTGGTCAATGACTCCGCTGTCCTGGCGTCGTGGGGGAGCTTGTTCCACCATTGGGGTGCCAGAGCAGCGAATAGCTTTGACTGGGCTCAGCGGGAACTGTGCTTCCGTAGAGGTAGGGGGGCTAGCAGGCCAGAGGTGGATGAACGTAGTGCCCTCGTTTGGGTGTAGGGTCTGATCAGAGCCTGAAGGTAAGGAGGTTGCCGTTCCCCTCACAGCTCCGTAGGCAAGCACCATGGTCTTGTAGTAGATGCGAGCCTCAACTGGAAGCCAGTGGAGTGTGCGGAGGAGCGGGGTGATATGAGAGAACTTGGGAAGGTTGAACACCAGACAGGCTGCAGCGTTCTGGACAAGTTGTAGGGGTTTAATGGCACAGGCAGGGAGCCCAGCCAACAGCGAGTTGCAGTAATCCAGACGGGAGATGACAAGTGCCTGGATTAGGACCTGTGCCGCTTTCTGTGTAAGGTAGGGCCGTACTCTGCAAATGTTGTAGAGCATGAACCTGCAGGATCGGGTCACCGCTTTGATGTTAGTGGAGAACGACAGGGTGTTGTCCAGGGTCACGCCAAGGTTCTTTGCACTCTGGGAGGAGGACACAATGGAGTTGTCAACCGTGATGGCGAGATCATGGAGCGGGCAGTCCTTCCCCGGGAGGAAGAGCAGCTCTGTCTTGCCAAGGTTCAGCTTGAGGTGGTGATCCGACATCCACACTGATATGTCTGCCAGACATGCAGAGATGCGATTCGCCACCTGGTTATCAGAAGGGGGAAAGGAGAAAATTAATTGTCTCGTCTGCGTAGCAATGATAGGAGAGACCATGTGAGGATATGACAGAACCAAGTGACTTGGTGTATAGAGAGAATAGGAGAGGGCCTAGAACTGAGCCCTGGGGGACACCAGTGGTGAGAGCACGTGGTGCGGAGACAGATTCTCGCCACGCCACCTGGTAGGAGTGACCTATCAGGTAGGACGCAATCCAAGAGTGAGCAGCGCCGGAGATGCCCAACTCAGAGAGGGTGGAGAGGAGGATCTGATGGTTCACAGTATCAAAGGCAGCAGATAGGTCTAGAAGGATAAGAGCAGAGGAGAGAGAGTTAGCTTTAGCAGTGCGGAGAGCCTCCGTGACACAGAGAAGAGCAGTCTCAGTTGACTGACCAGTCTTGAAACCTGACTGGTTTGGATCAAGAAGGTAATTCTGAGAGAGATAGCAAGAGAGTTGGCTAGAGACGGCACGCTCAAGAGTTTTGGAGAGAAAATAAAGAAGGGATACTGGTCTGTAGTTGTTGACATCGGAGGGATCGAGTGTAGGTTTTTTGAGGAGGGGTGCAACTCTCGCTCTCTTGAAGACGGAAGGGACATGGCCAGCGGTCAAGAATGAGTTGATGAGCGAGGTGAGGTAAGGGAGAAGGTCTCCGGAAATGGTCTGGAGAAGAGAGGAGGGGATAGGGTAAAGCGGGCAGGTTGTTGGGCGGCCGGCTGTCACAAGTCGCAAGATTTCATCTGGAGAGAGAGGGGAGAAAGAAGTCAAAGCATAGGGTAGGGCAGTGTGAGCAGGACCAGCAGTGTCATTTGACTTAACAAACGAGGATCGGATGTCGTCAACCTTCTTTTCAAAATGGTTGACGAAGTCATCCACAGAGAGGGAGGGGGGAGGAGGAGGAGGAGGAGGATTCAGCAGGGAGGAGAAGGTGGCAAAGAGCTTCCTAGGGTTAGAGGCAGAGGCTTGAAATTTAGAGTGGTAGAAAGTGGCTTTAGCAGCAGAAACAGAGGAAGAGAATGTAGAGAGGAGGGAGTGAAAAGATGACAGGTCCGCAGGGAGTCTAGTTTTCCTCCATTTCCACTCGGCTGCCCGGAGCCCTGTTCTGTGATCTCGCAATGAGTCGTCAAGCTACGGAGCAGGAGGGGAGGACCGAGCCGGCCGGGAGGATAGGGGACATAGAGAGTCAAAAGATGCAGAAAGGGAGGAGAGGAGGGTTGAGGAGGCAGAATCAGGAGATCGGAGGGAGAAGGGTTTAGCAGAGGGAAGAGATGATAGGATGGAAGAGGAGAGAGTAGCGGGAGAGGGAGAGCGAAGGTTGCGACGATACATTACCATCTGAGCAGAGTGAGTAGTGTTGGAGGAGAGCGAGAGAGAAAAGGATACAAAGTAGTGGTCGGAGACTTGGAGGGGAGTTGCAGTGAGATTAGTAGAAGAACAGCATCTAGTAAAGATGAGGTCAAGCGTATTGCCTGCCTTGTGAGGATTGTCTTGATGTTATTCGACCAGCTTGTCTGCTACTGTCCCATGTGAGTTGGCTATTACACAACATGCATGACGCGTTATGAGACTGCATTACTCTAGCTACTGTACTGCCAACATCATCACCATCAAACTTCCATTGCTGAACATTGCTTGTTTTTCATTATGACATGAATACAGCAAGTCTTGAAATGTACCACAACAATTGAGTGTTTACTGTCACTGCCTCCTGTCAATTCAACATAAAGACTATCAACACCCTGGCCCTAACATATCACCCATGCCAGTCAGTGTCTGAAACCACTAAAGGTACCCATATTTGTTCTGTTTTGACCATCAGAAATTTGAGAAGAAGTACAATGCTGAGATGGTGAAGGGGGGCGTGTCAAAGGAGACCAAGTTTGAATATGCATGGTGTCTGATCCGGAGCAAGTATTCCGACGACATTAAGAAAGGAATTGTTTTGTTGGAAGGTGGGTAGCCTACAGTATTTGTGTACTCAGAAGGCTGTCAATAAGATGTCCTTACAAATGCCTCTCTAAATAGCTACGAATATGAGTGATTGGATTTCTAACTTATTGGAATGAAATTCTGACATAGTGCAATGCAATATGCATTGGCCTACTTAACCCGCCTATAATAATGTTACTGGTACTATTGCTCAATTTTTTTTATAGAGCTGGTTAACAAGGGATCAAAGGACGATGCCAGAGACTTCCTGTTCTACCTAGCTGTGGCAAACTACAGACTGAAGGTGATGTTCATTGTACTACTATATTACCCATAGGTTTTAAGACACAGCTCACTAGATAACTCCATTTCCCATCTCTCTTGAGTTATTTGAGGAAGATATCATAGCACCTTTTACTCAATTGTATCTCTCTTTATCACTCACTATCTCTTTATCGCTCCATATATCTCTTTATCATCACAGGATTATGAGAAAGCTCTAAAGTATATCCGCACTCTCCTGAAGAATGAACCGGGCAACAACCAGGCCTTGGAGCTGGAGAAGCTAATAGATAAGGCTCTAAAAAAAGGTGAATGGGGAGGCCAAGGAACACCTATCAAGGCTGGTTCTCAATAGGTCTAATTTGCATAATTTTATGATCACTGATCAGGCAGGACATGATGGGTAGAAGCTGGATAGGTATTGGTAATAAGGGCAATGTTAATGTTTTGATGTCACTTTTTTCCCCACACAGATGGCTTTGTTGGCATGGCAATCGTCGGAGGAATCTGCCTGGGTGTGGCAGGATTAGCAGGCCTCATTGGATTGGCTGTGTCCAAGGGTCATGGTCCAAGGTCCTAATATGGAGTGGGGAGGGCCTTAGCTTTGCTAACACACCTCAAAGAAAGACTGACATGCCCTCCTTAAACTTCTCCCCCATAACAAATTCAAACTAAGGTTTGAAATGGCTGCCGTTTCCCAAGATGAGAAGACCACCCGTGGCTCTCCCAAAACATTTCACTCATATTGTCCATGGAATAATGTTTGGGGATTGGTTTCTGAAAATAGCCTTACATTTACTTAAATTGTCTTCATATTTTAACAGGTGTTTTTGATTCCAGTGAATTTGACATGTATATTCATACAGGGGTTTAACGTGGCACTTTGTCTTCCATATTATACATTGTAAATAAGTGTGATGGAACATGTTACTGAATGGCATCTCTTGACTTACTGACCTCAGTATGTTAGCATGCATCCTGAGCATCCACTTTGAGTTAGCATCTAAGCATGCAGTGGACTGTAATTAATTTATTTATAAAAGTGCAATGTTACTTCAATTATTGTTGTTGTCGTCATTTAATTTAGACAGAGGAAGCATTGGTGTTTAGGGAAGTGTCTTCTGTTTAGAGTTAGTATTGCGGTATAGGTTCAAATCCAGTAACAGTGTGTCTGTATTGTGTGGTGTAGTTGGTAAGAATTATGCAGCTGTGATGTGGGTCACTCATGTTGTCCACAGGGTGCGTCATATCTTAGGGATAGGGTAAAGATGAATACCCAGACAGTGCAAGAGAGTAAAACAGCCCTTAGGAAAAGTTTTTAATTGGTCTTTAATTGGCAGTGTAGATGCAAGAAAACATGTAAAAATAACATTATTTATCCATAATATAAACCCATTTACTCAAGTTATCTTAATGGCATGATACTAACAGATTTTGTGTTATGAATCAAAATACCAAGACGTTTCAGCTATTTTATTTTTTTCTACAGTTTTGATTGTAAATAAAAATGTTTCAATTGATTGTGTATGGTTTCTTAAAATGTATATGACTGTAGGACCGATTCTTGTGTTTTGAATGGATGTAAATTATCAACGGGATGGGAGGAAATTAATGAAGTGCATGGTACCTGTCATGAGTCAACAATGTTGGCAGAGCTGCTCTGTCCATGACCGACTGACCAGGTGAATCCAGCTGAACACACCTTGTAGAGTCCATGCCCCGACAAATAGAGGTTGTTCTGAGGGCAAAAGGGGGTGCAACTCAATATTAGAAATGTGTTCCTAATCTTTTTGTACACTGTATATTTTAGTACCTGTATTGATGTGCATGTTTTTCTCTTATCGATACAGTATAACGATGCAGTCACATACTGTAGTTTCAGTTGGACAGAAAAAATGTGCCTGGCTATTCACTGGCCTAGTTCAGTTTGGTGTCAAACGTGCACAGTGTGGCCCCAGAAGGGCTTCAGTTAACTCACTGGGGCTATATTTTTACAATGGGAAGGAATAAGAACGCTAGGTTATTATGTATTCTTTATCTTTATAAGCTGCCAGTGATGTTAGCTAGCTAGCTACTCATTAACCCTTCGACGTGACTGAAACTCACCATGACAAAGCATCGGGCACAATCATTATAATTTGGGTTGGTGTGATGAGGCCAGGGACACAAGGACAAGCATGTCACTGAGAAGCACATTAAGTTAAAGGGATAGTTCAGCCAAATTACAAATGTGTATATTTGGCTGCGTTTACACAGTCAGCCCAATCATTATCCTTTCCCCAATTATTGGTCTGATTGGTCCAAAAAACTATTAGTGGAAAAATATGGACAAGGAGAGTCTGCAATCCACAATTTGGTTTTGTTAAATTAACCACTGCCACCAACCGCTAATATAAGCATTTTCTAACCAAATTACAGAGAAGGGCATTTAGTTGTCCATATCAGACTGGAAACCCAGCTTAGTTTATGCATTTTCCATTATACCAGATAAATTGATCAGATCACTGCCACCCGCCTGTGAAGAGCAGATTTGGGCTCAATTTGAATTGAAGGCTGTCAATTCAGGAAGTGATTTGAATAAAACATTCTGAATTTTTTTAACGTTTTAAATAAATAGCTTCTACTTTTCAATTATTGAGAAGTAATTGAAAATGCCCTTTTTTCTATTATTGAATTGTAAGCAGCAACGTGTGTGTGTGTGTGTGTGTGTGTGTGTGTGTGTTATATGTGTGTGTGGGTTTGTGTCAGGGTAGTGTGTGAGTGAGTGAATACACTGAGTGTACTAAACATTAGGAACACATTCCTAATATGAGTTGCAACCCCCCCCCCCCCCCCTTTTGCCCTCAGAACAGCCTCAATTCATCAGGGCATGGACTCTACAAGGTGTCTAAAGCGTTCCACAGGGATGCTGGACCATGTCGACTCCAATGCTTCCCACAGTTGTGTCAAGTTGGTTGGATGTCCTTTGGGTGGTGGACCATTCTTGATACACACGGTAAACTGTTGAGTGTGAAAAACCCAGCAGCTTTGCAGTTCTTGACACAAACCGGTGCACCTGGAAGTAGAAGTCCTTGTCCAAATGGAGGTTAGTGATAGCTGTTCTGATGTCCAGCAGGTCTTTTCGGTCATAGGAAACAATGGCGAAAACACTATGTTAAAAAAAGTTACGATCAGCACAAAAAAAATACATAAAATAGCACAATTGGTCAGGAGCCCGTAAAACGTCCGCCATTCCCTCCAGCGCCATTATCTCTACAGGAGGGTAGCTCTCCAGGAAAAGGGTTGTAGTGAAAACCTACAGGAGGGTAGCTCTCCAGGAACAGGGTTGGAGTGAAAACCTACAGGAGGGTAGCTCTCCAGGAACAGGGTTGGAGTGAAATCCTACAGGAGGGTACTCTCCAGGAACAGGGTTGGAGTGAAAACCTACAGGAGGGTAGCTCTCCAGGAACAGGGTTGGAGTGAAATCCTACAGGAGGGTAGCTCTCCAGGAACAGGGTTGGAGTGAAAACCTACAGGAGGGTAGCTATCCAGGAACAGGGTTGGAGAGCCCTGCTGTACAGTAACACTGAATTTGTGTATTTCTCCTCCCTTCCTGCGCAGTGCCTTAGATGTTGGCAGATACTCCGTTAATGTTATAGCAAGCCGAGCTGCTGGAGGGCCACCACAAGCTGATGAACCTGGAGTGCTCATGGAATGACCTCACGTACGATGTGGACCGCATGGACAGCAAGAACACGCACAATATGAACCTCAGTTGAACTACTTTTGCAAGGTGCAGGGCCTGTCGGACGACCTGGTCAAGCAGCTGTGGATAGTGCTGCAGCGGACATGGGCAAAGCTGGACGCCACAATGAGCACGCGCTTCGAGGGCACCCAGTCGGTGACACACGAATTGGACAGGATGTGGCTGAAGGTGGAATCACAAACCTAAAACCTCAGTTTTGAGTTACAGCAGCACACTGACTATCTGCCTCGGATGTTGTTTATAATTATTGCCCTGTGTTTTGCGCAGTCATGTAACATAGCAATATTTTGCCCTACATTTCAAGCCTTATCCAGAAATGAGAATTACATCAAAAATGAAAGCAATTGTCTCAGGATGGTGCTGGACTATCTGACATGGAAAGAGGACAGTCATCAAACTGTCCATGCATTCATCTCCTACCGACATGACTATTGCAACTCATTACTCTCCGGCATCAACTCAAGCTCTCTACATAAGCTTCAAATGGTTTAAAACTCTGCAGCCCGACTCCTCACCCACACTGGCAGCACATCACCCTTGTCATCTATGAACTCCACTAGCTTCCTGTCTCCCATCGCATTAACTAAAATATCCTCCTTTGACCTACAAAGCTCTTCTGTGACCAAATCAGTGGGCTTGTGGTTAATGTTCTCCCTGAGATTGAAAGGTTGGAAGTTTGATCCCCAAAGACTGTCAAAATAGGACCCAATGCAACTCAGAATTGTAGAGATAGATTGGGGGTACAGCCCTGTGATAGACTAGCACCCTGTACTTGTACATCAAGCTGCCTCAGGCTCCAGAAACAGGAGATAGGCTTCTGCTCACAGAGATGGATAGAGAAAGCATCCCTATGATGAAAAGATGACATCGACAGACATGGCAGCTCTGCTTCTAGCTCCTAAGCAACGTTGCAGTATTTTGCTTTTTTTGGTGTTATTTCTTACATTATTAGCCCATAACGTTTTTAGTGTTATTACATACAGCCGGAAATAACTTTTGGATATCAGAGCGGCGGTAACTCAACAGCAGTACAACCAGGAAAACGACTTTCCCGAATTGGATCCTTTGTTCGTACCCCTCAGGTCAATTGAACTTATCCCAGAGGCTGCTCCAAGACGCCGCCGGTGGAGAAGAGGCATTCGGAGTGGACTTCTAGTCCGACTCAGGAGGCGTGCACACCATCCACCGCTTCCGAGTATATTACTCGCTAATGTTCAGTCTCTGGACAATAAAGTAGACGAGCTTAGGGCGAGGATCTCGTTCCAGAGATAAATACTTTGTTTCACGGAATCATGGCTCTCTCTGGATATGTTGTCCCCGTCCATACAGCCAGCTGGGTTCTCAGTACATTGCGCAGACAGGAATAAAGAACTCTCCGGGAAGAAGAAAGGCGATGGTGTATGTTTCATGATTAACTACTCATGGTGTGATTCTGATAACGTACAAAAACTCAAGTCCTTTTGTTTACCCGATCTAGAATACCTCACAATCAAATGCCAACCGTATTACCTCCCAAGAGAATTCTCTTCGTTTATAGTCACAGCCATTTATATTCCACCTCAAGCCGATACCACGACGGCCCTCAAGGAACTACACTGGACTTTGTGCAAAATGGAAACCACATATCCTGAGGCCATATTTATTGTAGCTGCGGATTTTAACAATGCAAATTTGAGGAAAATGCTACCAAAGTTCTATCAACACATTGACTGTAGTACTCGCACTGGAAAAAATGCTCGACCACTGCTACTCCCCCTTCCGGGGTGCCTACAAGGCCCTCCCCCGCCCTCCCTTCGGCAAATCAGATCACGACTCCATTTTGTTCCTCCCTTCCTATAGGCAGAAACTCAAACAGGAAGTACCTGTGCTAAGGTCTATTCAACGCTGGTCTGACCAATTGGAATCAATGCTACAAGATTGTTTTGATCACGCAGACTGGGATATGTTCCGGGTAGCCTCTGAGAATAATATTGATGTATACACGGACACGGTGACTGAGTTCATCAGGAAGTGTATAGTGGATGTTGTTCCCACTGTGACTATTAAAACCTAACTTGGTTTGTGCTGTGGTGGAGACCTCTGTGGGCTATACTCGGCCTTGTCTCAGGATTGTAAGTTGGTGGTTGGGGATATCCCTCTAGTGGTGCGGGGGCTGTGCTTTGGCGGAGTGGGTGGGGTTATATCCTTCCTGTTTGGCCCTGTCCGGGGGTTTCTTCGGATGGGGCCACAGTGTCTCCGGACCGCTCCTGTCTCAGCCTCCAGTATTTATGCTGCAGTAGTTTATGTGTCGGGGGGCTGGGGTTAGTTGGTTATACCTGGAGTACTTCTCCTGTCTTATCCAGTGTCCTGTGTGAATTTAAGTATGCTCTCTCTAATTCTCTCGTTCTCTCTTTCTCTCTGAGAACCTGAGCCCTAGGACCATACGTCAGGACTACCAGGCATGATGACACCCTGCTGCCCCCAGTCCGCCTGGCCTTGCTGCTATTCCAGTTTCAACTGTTCTGCCTGCGGCTACGAAACCCCTACCTGTCCCAGACCTGCTGTTTTCAACTCTAAATGATCGGCTATGAAAAGCCAACTGAGAGACCTGAGCCCTAGGACCATACGTCGGGACTACCGGCCGTGGTGACTCCTTGCTATCCCCAGTCCGCCTGGCCTTGCTGCTATTCCAGTTTAAACTGTTCTGCCTGCGGTTATGGAACCCCTACCTGTCCCAGACCTGCTGTTTTAAACTCTAATGATCGGCTATGAAAAGCCAACTGAGATTTATTCCTGATTATTATTTGACCATGCTTGTCACTTATGAACATTTTTGAACATCTTGGCATGGTTCTGTTATAATCTCCACCCGGCACAGCCAGAAGAGGACTGGCCACCCCTCATAGCCTGGTTCCTCTCTAGGTTTCTTCCTAGGTTTTGCCTTTCTAGGGAGTTTTTCCTAGCCACCGTGCTTCTACACCTGCATTACTAGCTGTTTGGGGTTTTAGGCTGGGTTTCTGTACAGCACTTCGAGATATTAGCTGATGTAAGAAGGGCTATATAAAATAAAATTGATTGATTGATTGATAACCAAACCAGAAACCATGGATAGATGGCAGCATTCGCGCAAAACTGAAAGCATGAACCACCGCATTTAACCATGGCAAGGTGACTGGGAATATGGTCGAATACAAACAGTGTAGTTATTCCCTCCGTAAGGCAATCAAACAGGCAAAACGTCAGTACAGATACAAAGTGGAGTCGCAATTCAACGGCTCAGAAACGAGACGTATGTGGCAGGGTCTACTGACAATCACGGATTACAAAGGGAAAAGGGAAAACCAGCCACCGACGTCTTGCTTCCGGACAAGCTGAACACCTTCTTCGCCCGCTTTGAGGATAACACAGTGCCAACGACGCGGCCCGCTCCCAAGGACTGTGGGCTCTCGTTCTCCGTGGCGACGTGAGTAAGACATTTAAGCGTGATAACCCTTGCAAGGCTGCTGGCCCAGACGGCATCCCTAGCCGCGTACTCAGAGCATGCACAGACCAGCTGGCTGGAGTGTTAACGGACATATTCAATCTCTCCCTATCCTAGTCTGCTGTCCCCACTTGCTTCAATATTTCCACCATTGTTCCTGTACCCAAGAAAGCAAAGGTAACTGAACTAAATTACTATCGCCCCGTAGCATTCACTTCTGTCGTCATGAAGTGGTTTGAGAGGCTAGTTAAGGATCATATCACCTCTACCTTACCTGACACCCTAGACCCACTTCAATTTGCTTACCGCCCCAATAGATCCACAGACGATGCAATCGCCATCGCACTGCACACTGCTGTATCCCATCTAGAGGAATACCTATGTAAGAATGCTGTTCATTGACTATAGCTCAGCCTTCAACACCATAGTACCCGCCAAGCTCATCATTAAGCTCGGGGCCCTGGGTCTGAACCCCGCCCTGTGCAATTGGGTCCTGGACTTCCTGACGGGCCGCCCCCAGGTGGTGAAGGTAGGAAACAACACCTCCACTTCACTGATCCTCAACACAGGGGCCCCACAAGGATGTGTCCTCAGCCCCCTCCTGTACTCCCTTTTCACCCATGACTGCGTGGCCATGCACACCTCCAACTCAATCATCAAATTTGCAGACAACACAACAGTAGTAGGCATGATTACCAACAATGACGAGACAGCCTACAGGGAGGAGGTGAGGGCCCTGGCGGAGTGGTGCCAGGAAAATAACCTTTCCCTCAACGTCAACAAAATGAAGGATCTGATCTTGGACTTCAGGAAACAACAGAGGGAGCACGCCTCTATCCACATCGGAAAGCTTCAAGTTCCTCCGTATCACTGATAATCTGAAATGGTCCCACCCACACGCCTCTTCAACCTCAGGAGGCTGAAGAAATTCGGCTTGGCCCCTAAGACCCTCACAAACTTTTACAGATGCACAATTGAGAGCATCCTGTCCAGCTGTATCACCGCTTGGTGCAGCAACTGCACCACCCGCAACCGCAGGACTCTCCAGAGAGGGGTGCGGTCTGCCCAACTGTTACAGGAGTGGGTCGCAGTTCCGGAGCGACCCACTAGGTGTCATCCTCCGACAACCTTAGGCACCTCCTCACTCACAGTCGGGACTAATCATCTTCCTATTGGTGTCACCTGTGTCTATCTGATTCACCTGTGTATTTATGCCCTCACTTCCCTGTGTTCCCTTGCTCAGTTTTCTCTGCCAGTTTCTCAATGCTCAGCAGTACCACGACTGTCTAAGAAGGAAGCTAGCGGTGATTTAAATAAATTAAAATAGTTACAAATGGTTTGTAACTAATATAGAGAAGAGTCGGAGCAGTGGTGCGGCGATATTCTCCTTGCGGAGATGGCGAAAAATGCTAATTTTAGGGCGATTCCCAGGATTGGGATCAGGAACACAGTTAGGTTTGCGTGGAAGGAGAAGGACATGGAGCCTTTTGGAAGGGAAACATTTGGGAGGACTTTGTTGATGGGAGTGTTAAAGCTGGCGGTAAAGGATGTGATGTGCCTCCAGGCGAACCCCTTGGAAGGGGCTTATGATGTGGTTTTTCACACGGAGGGGAAGCATGACGAGGTCATGAAAAAGGCGAGGGAGGTGGTGAAGGCCAGGCCGATGTGCCACTACAAGGTAACAAGCTTGGCCAAGAACAACTTCAGGGTAATAACAGTAAACATGTATAACCCGCATGTTAAGGGTGAGGGTTTTTATGGGGAGGTATATGGACAATGTCTCCTCGGCAAGGCTCCTCAAAGACTCGCTAGGGTTCTGGAACGGGAGGAGAAGCTTCCAGGCTCTGTTGAGGGAAGACCCAAAGGGCCTGGGAGGTTACCTTCATCCTCCAGCTCTGTTCTCCCTGGGGCCTGACAGGGGGACATTGTTTTATGCCCGTCAGCCCCCTTTCTGCAAACGATGCATGGCCTATGGCCATAATTATGCCTCATGTGGGGCGAAGAAATGCAGGTTGTGTGGGTCTGGGGCACACGAGGCGAGGGACTGTGACGAGTCGAAGAAGTGCCACGGGTGTGGATCGTCAGCACACCTGTGGAGGGAGTGTACGGCTCGTCACAAGTCGTATGCAGCTGCAGCTGGTGGGGGAGCAGGGCAGGAGCGGGGCATGGAGGAGGAAGAGGAGGAGGAGTTCAAGACCCAAGCGCAGGGCCAGAGGCAATACCAGCGACGTTGGAGGAGGAGCCGAGAACAGCAGCGGGAGGAGAGGGGGACGGGCAGGGGACTGCCGTAGCAGTTCTGGAAGGAGAGGTGGTGCCGGAGACGGAGGGGAGTGTGGGAGAGGAGGTGCTGGAGACGGAGGCGGCGGAAGGAGAGGAGGTCGGGGAGGAGCCAGCCACAGCCTTGGGAGGAGAGGAGAAGGGGGAGAGGGGGGGCCGGAGTGGGGGAAAGCGAGATGTCGAGTGCCCAGGGGGATGAGGTGAGGGAGATGATGGAGGAGCTGGTGATCAAGGGGGGCTGGGTCTCCCGACTGCCGGCGAACCAATGAAGAGAGGGAAGAGGAGGGGGAGATCATTGGACAGGAAGAGGGAAATGGGTGGTGGGGGCCAAGCGTGTCATGGGGGAGAAGGGCGCTGTGGGGGAAGAATATCCTGTGTCTTCGCTGCCCCCCCCCCTCCCCCCCAATGCACAGGGGGAGGTGGGCTCAGGATCCCCTGCACTGTTCCCAACCTGTTTTGGAGGTGGATGGTGGTGAGCCCAGGATGCAGGGAACCCAGGAGCCAAACACCATTCCTGCATCCTGGGTTGGAGAGATGGAGGGGAGTGACGGGGCATCTGGGGTGGAGTCGGAGTCCCTACAGGAGGAGATGGAGCAGGGGAGCATCAGGTGAGCCTCCTGTTGTCTTTTGGGGTTTAGTAGGTTGTAATTTGTGAAATGCATTATGGCAGGGATTATTTTTGTTACTTTAAATGTGAGGGGAATAAGGGAGGATGTTAAAAGAAGTGTGGTTTTGGGGTATTTAGGGGGTGGGTTTTTATGTTTGTTTTATACAGGAGGTTCACCTAAGGGATAGTGGGGATGTAATAAGGTTTAAGAGGGAGTTGGACAAGGGAGAGTCGGTTTGGGGTATAGGGGGGGGGGGGGGTGCACTCATCAGGAGTAGGGATTTTGTTTGGGAATAGGGAGGTGAAGGTGGAGGGCACTATGGTAGGTATGCAGGGGAGGGTTTTGGGGGTGGATGTCACAGTAAGGGATGATAGATATAGGGTAATTGTGGTGTACAGGCCACAGTTGGCGGCAGGCAGGAGGGGGATGGTGGACTGCCTGGCGCCGCTGTGTGCCACGAATAGACACTTGTTGATAGGGGGGGATTTTAATATAGATATAGGGAGGGGGAGGGACAGTAGTGCAGGTGCCATCGCCGGGCTAATGGCATGCCATGGTCTGGTAGATGGGGGCCTGCACACTACTCCGACGATGACAGGTCCAACATGGCGCAGCTCCAGAGGGGTCGAGCGGAGGCTCAACTATATTTTTCTATCCAGGTCACTGGGTCAGTTGTCTGGGTGTTTGTTGCCTGTGTTCTTTTCAGATCACGACGGGGTGCTGCTGCAGGTGGGGGCACCAGTCTGCCTCTTCGGTAGGGGGTACTGGAAGTTAGAACGGGAGGTAGTGGATGAGCAGGCTTTCGTTAAAGGTTTTGTTGATTTCTTTAGGGGGCTTGAGGGCCTCCGGTCCATGTGTGAGGGGGTATTAGAGTGGTGGGAAATAGCAAAGGTGAGGATTAGGGTTTTTATAATAGGATATTGTAAGAGGAAAAAGAGGGAGGAAAGGAGGGAGGTGGATCATATCCAAAGGCTGCTCGAACTCGAGCTCGAGGCAGGCAACCTCGGCGGGTCGGTAGACCAGGAGAGATCCTCTGCCCTAAAGGCGCAACTTAGGGAGGTGCATGAGCGGAAGGCTCGCGCTTTCCTGGAGCGTGCGCATAGTGGGTTTTTAGAACACGACAACACGTCAGTTAGGGGAAGACAGAGTAGGACGGTAATGTATGGGGTTAGGGAAGAAAACGGTAGAGTAGTGAGAGAAAGTGAGGAAATGGTCAAGGTGACCACAGAACATTTCCATGGTTATTTTTTCAAGAAAGGGCAGTAGATGTAGAGCAGGGAAACGTGTTTTTAGAACACCTGTCCCAGCGAGTGCCAGAGGACATTAGAGAAGCGATGGAGGCTCAGATCTCCCTAGAAGAGGTTGAGAGCGCCCTCAGGAGGATGGGAAAAGGGAAGGTGCCCGGGATGGATGGGCTGCCGGCAGAGTTTTACCTGAAGTTTTGGGGGAAACTTGGTCCGGTAGTCCTTGAAGTCTTGAAGGCCATCCTCAAGACGGGGGTCCCGGGGGGGTCAATGGCCGTAGGTGTGCTGTCACTTCTTTACAAGAAGGGGGACGCAACAGACCTTGGCAACTGGTGGACGTTGACCATGCTGTGCGTAGATTATAACCTGCTTGCGAAGGTTCTAGCGGACCGGTTGCGCACAGCCCTTCCCTACGTCGTCCATGAGGATCAGACATGTGGGATAGAGGGCCGCTCTATTAGGTGGAACTTGAGTTTGATTAGGGACTCCATTGCTTGGGTAGAAGATAGAGGGCTGCCATTAATGGTAGCAGCACTTGATCAGGCTAAAGCCCATTTTATTTTCAGGGTGTTAGGTAGGTTAGGTTTTGGGGAGAAGTATATAGGGTGGATCCGTGATTTATATGTCGGAGCAGGGTGCCGGGTTAATTTAAACGGTCACATGGGTGACGTTTTTGACCTCGCGTCGGGGGTCAGGCGGGGTGCCCGCTCTCGGCACTCCTCTTCGTTCTGTACATGGAGCCTCTGGGGGCTGCCATTAGGGCAGACACGGTGGAGGACTTGCTTATCCCTGGGAGCGGTGGGCTGCACGTTAAGATGACGCAGTACGCCGACGACACGTCCTTGTTACTATGCAAGGACTCGTGCCTGACTAGGTCCCTTGCCATCATTGGGGAATTCATCCGAGCGTCGGGAGCGGTTCTCAATCACGCTAAGTCTTCCGTTAAGTTTTTCGGAAGATGGCGTTGGAGGACGGATGTGCCTGGGGGGTTATCTCTCTGTATCGGGGCCCTGAAGATTCTCGGGGTCTTGTTTGAGACCTCCGGCTCAGCGACGCTGAATTGGAACAGGAGCATCGCAGTGGTACAGAGGAAGCTGGGGATGTGGAGGGCTAGGTCGTTGTCCTTTATAGGCAAGGTCCTGGTCCTCAAGGTGGATTAGTTGTCGTCTCTTTTGTATATGGCGTACGTCTACCCATTGCCAGCTAGTCTGAGGAGGCCTCTAGTGAGGCTAGTGTTTCAGTTCATGTGGGGTGGCAGACTCGAGCGTGTCGCGAGGGTTCGCATGCTCTGTCCCATCGGGGAGGGAGGTAGGGGGGTACCACATTTCCCCCTCAAGCTGGACTCGATTTTTGTTTTCTTTTTTGTTGACAGAGCTGGCTCATCCGGTGATACACCTGTCTGGTTACTTCCTGCGGGTGTTCTTCTCTTACCAGGCGAGAAGCGTAATGGTGTGGTCTAACACGGGTCCTCGCGCGGAACAGCTGCCGTGGCACTTTGGCTATGCGGCCAAGTGGCTGCGTGCGCACCCCGAGGTTGAAGTTGCCAGAGTAGGTTTAGATCACAGGCACCTGTACGAGGAGGTGAGACAGGGAGGGTGTCCAGGGCCCGTAGTGGGTATCCCGGATGGGGTCTGGGAAGGAGTGCAGGTGCGTGGTCTGGACAACGGGCTCAAGGACCTGAATTGGTTGAGCCTCCATAAGTGCTTGCCCGTGCGTTCCAAGACCAACTTGTGGCGGGGAGGAGACATTGCGCCATGTTTTTCGGGGCTGTGCTTTCGCCAGGGTGGTATGGGCTAGGGCACAGGTGTTGATAGGCAGGGTGAGAGGGGATTTTGTTGTGACGTGGGCTAGGGTAGATAGAGGTGTAGGGAAAGCGAGGGGGACGGTAAGGGACAGGTTTTGCTCTGGCTTCTCATAAGCCTCTTTAAACGGGGGTTGTGGGAAGCTAGGCAGAAAAAGGAAAGGACAGGGAGAGAAGAGGGTGTGGAGGGGATAGTGAGGAGGGTGGAGCAGAATTTGAGGGGGAGAATGAAGAGAGAGGAGAGGAGGTGGGGGCAGCATGCTGCTCTGGAGAGGTGGAAGGGGGGTTTAGTGTTGGGGTTAGTGTAGAGGGGTAGGATTTGTGTGTGTGTTTTTAGCTGGGTATAAAGGGGGAGGGAAGGTGCTCCCCTGGGGTTTAATTTCTGTTATTGTTTGGTTTTGTGGGTGTTTGATATATATTGTGGTGGGTAGTTTTGTATTGTTATTTTTAGTGATGTTGGGGTTGGGAATTAATGGTGTGTGTAATGTGTATGATGATGTATGGTGTGGATTTTTGAATAAAAACGTTTAATCACTAATCAGTGTCTGATCGCGGGACGTATGGACAGGTACGTGAGAAGTGTTCTCCCTGTTTATATATTATTTCAGTCATAGTTAGTATTATGTATTTTTGGCTGTCTGCCTGTTTTTTGGAGTCTTATTTGCTCCGCCTTTCTTTTTTGTGTAAAGTCCGTTGTTTTGTATCCTGGTTTTTGGACCACCAGTAAAGATCCTTGTTTCACCATCTCTGCCTACTGCCTACTGTCTATCCTACACCACACCTGGGTCACACCTCACACCAACCCTTACACCCAACGCATCACCGGGGGCACACTGCCTGCCTTCCAGGACACCTACAGCACCCGATGTCACAGGAAGGCCAAAAGGATCATCAAGGACATCAACCACCCGAGCCACAGCCTGTTCACCCCGCTACCATCCAGAAGGCGAGGTCAGTACAGGTGCATCAAAGCTGGTACCGAGAGACTGAAAAACGGCTTCTATCTCAAGGCCATCAGACTGTTAAATAGCCATCACTACCCGGCTACCACCCAGTTACTCAATCCTGCACCTTAGAGGCTGCTGCCCCATATACATAGACATGGAATCACTGATCAATAATGGAACACTAGTCACTTTAATAATGTTTACATATCTTGCATTACTCATCTCATATGTATATACTGTATTCTATAATATTCTACTGTATCATAGTCCATGCCGCTCGTACATATATGTATATATTCTTAATTCCATTCCTTACTTAGATTTGTGTTTTGGGTATATGTTGTGAAATTGTTAGAAATTACTGCACTGTCGGAGCAAGAAGCACAAGCATTTTGCTACACCCGCAATAATATCTGCTAAACACGTGTATTTGACAAATACAGTTTTATTTGACTTGTTTTGTTATGACAGGGTACTAAAACCCATAGCCAAATAATGGAATCATTGGAAAATAAACTGGATGATCTACGATTAAGACTATCCTACCAACGGGATATTAAAAACCGTAATATCTTATGTTTCACCGAGTCGTGGCTGAATGACGACAAGGATAATATAGAGCTGCCTGGGTTTTCCGTGCATCGGCAGGACAGAGCAGCTACGTCTGGTAAGAAGAGGGGCGGGGGTGTCTGTCTATTTGTCAATAACAGCTGGTGCAGGATGTCTAATATTAAAGAAGTCTCGAGGTATTGCTCGCCTGAGGTAGAGTACCTCATGATAAGCTGTAGACCACACTATCTACCAAGAGAGTTCACATCTATATTATTCGTAGCCATCTATTTACCACCACAAACCAATGCTGGCACTAAGACCGCACTCAACGAGCTGTATAAGGTCATAACCAAACAAGAAAATGCTCATCCAGAAGCGGCGCTCCTAGTTGCCGGGGACTTTAATGCAGGGAAATTAAATCAGTTTTACCTCATTTCTACCAGCATGTCACATGTGCAACCAGAGGAAAAAAAACTTTACACCACCTTTACCCCACACACAGAGACGCATACAAAGTTCTCCCTCGCCCTCCATTTGGCAAATCTGACCATAATACTATCCTCCTGATTCCTGCTTACAAGCAAAAACCAAAGCAGGAGGTACCAGTGACTCACTCAATACGGAAGTGGTCAGATGACGTGGATGCTAGCCAGACGGATTACAAGGACGTATACTCAACCAGCTTCACCTACTTTTTTTGGTATCTGTACTGTACTTTACTATTTATATTTTTGACAACTTTTACTTCACTACATTCCTAAAGAAAAGTATGTACTTTTTACTCCATACATTTTCCCTGACAGCCAAAGTACTCGTTACATTTTGAATGCTTACCAGGACAGAAAATTGTCCAATTCGCACACTTATCAAGAGAACGTCCCTGGTCATCCTTACTGCCTCTGATCTGGCGGACTCACTAAACACAAATGCTTTGTTTTTAAATTATGTGAGTGTGACTCTGGCTATCCGTAAATAAAAGAAAAAAGACAATTGTGCCGTCTGGTTTGCTTAATATAAGGAATTTGAAATTATTAGTACTTTTACTTTTCCTTTTGATACTTAAATATATTTTAGCAACTACATTTACTTCTGATACTTAAGTATATTTAAATCCAAATACTTTTAGACTTTTACTCAAGTAGTATTTTACTGGGTGACTTTCACTTTTACTTGAGTCATTTTCTATTAAGGTATCTTTACTTTTACTCAACTATGAGAATTGTGTACTTTTTCCACCACAAGCAACATCCAAGTGGGAGGATAAACACACTAGTACACCCCAGAGTACATGTAATATCTGAATAAGTACAATATAATTAGTAGGTGTTACACAGGATTTAGCTAGTTAAAATGAAGTGTTACCAAGACGGTATCTAATAAAAACTGTCAGACATCTTTGGTTACGTTGTTCAGGGCCCTTTCTATGTCAGCACCATTCTGAGTGGGCTCTGTGGATTTACCTTACTTTCTTTATAGATTTGTTGATGAGCAGATGTGTGGTTATACATTACTCACATTTGGTCAGAGAATATATGAATTTAACATATTCATATTTATAGTGAAAATACCAGTGGGACTCACTTCAATGTCTGACAGTTGTTGATGATGGCAATCATGTACTGGACATAGCACTGAAGTAGTTGCTGGTCATCTATTAAGACAACTTTTCTAACCTTTTTTACCTGATGAAGAATGAATTAATCTGTTTTCTACAGAGCTTCAGGACCGGACCTTTGAAGGTCTCAGCGATCTGGGCACCCACTTGAGAGATTCTGCTTAAACATCTGATGTGAGGAGAGATGGGAAAAAACAGATGTCAGAGGATCAACTCCTGACAATATTAACAATGGATGTATAGAACAAATGAGAGCCCTTGCTGTGGCACTTATTCAGACAAGAGTCAATTCTCAGGGCTGGTCATTTACATATGTACGGTAAAGTAACCTTACTGTAGCATCTGTAGCATCTACTGTTGGTTAAAGAAATTCAGGCTGATGCCCAGAAGGGGAAACTGTATAGCTACAGGTATACGATACCTAGAAGACTATGGCTGGGACGGTGGTCTGATAGCACCCATCTTGATCAGTGTCTGGCTCTTTCTGTCCGTCTGTCTTGTCCGTTTGCAGAGCCTTGTGCAGCCATTCTGTGATGTTGGACTGTGGAAGGGTGAGAGTGTGGAAGCTGGTCTTTCTGCATAGCTTAACCTGGTTCATGTTTAATATTTATAATAATAATAGCTCTGGGTGACCCATCATCTCCACACTGGAACACATAATCATAGTCAGATACAGGGGCGGTGTGTTCATTAGGGCGATATGGGCGACGCACTGCCAAACGGGAAAAGGAAGGGATTTTTTTTCTAATCAATTATATCACGGCAACAGTAGTTATCAGTGTTCTAATCTAGACGTCTGATCTGCCACTAAATGTCCAATCAGGCTAAAGTCGTGCTTCAAATGGCCCCGCCCCTTTTGGGGCGATTTCAGTCAGGTTGAAAATCGCCCCAGAAGTCTCTCATAGACTCTCATGTAAAATCTTTTTTTTTCAAATATCAGAGCTTTCAATACAATCTCTATGGGTTCCGGGAGGGCTTGCACTTACGCGCTTTCGTCATACGTAACATAACCATGAACGTAACTAAGAAAAGAGCGGGTAGCAGCGTCAATCAATTCACGTACTACTGTCAAGATGGCTAGCGTTCAGTGCAACTCGATTGTCTCTTTGAAAGAAGTTCCTTTTTGTCGGCGAACAAATCAAGATAAATTGGCAACGAAACAATTAGGACCTCCCAGACCAAATTTAATAATTCAACAGGTTTCTACTAAAGGGGGAAAGTCCTACACCCGAGGATTTTCCAAAAATTGGTACGAACGAAAAACCTAGTTAGCAGGCTGCGATGTAGCTAATGCAGTCTTCTGCTACCCCTGCTTACTCTTTCACCCTGAAGGTGGCACGGCAGACAGCACCGCTTGGACAGCGACTGGTGTAACGGACATGCACCATCTTTCAGAAAAGATTAAGAAACATGAGCTGTCAAAGACCCACATGGATAGCTGTTTGAGATTGTCTGCTTTGGGGAGAGTGAACATTGCCACTCAACTGGATGAGGGATACAGGCTAGCTGTCCGCCGCCACAACGATGAGGTTAGCAAGAACCGCCACATCCTCAGCCGGCTAATCCAGTATGTGAAGTTTTGCGGAGTGTTTGAGTTAGCTTTGCGAGGCAAAGATGAAACTGAGGGCTCCACCAACCCTGGTATTTTTCTTGGACTTGTCAACTTTGTGGCACAATTAGATAAGGTGTTTTATGGAAATGCATATTGTTTATGCAGTGTTGAGGAATGTGAAAGAACACCCTTGATTATTTTTACTGTGATAACTTATTTTGCTTTTGTAAGCCAACACTTTTGAGATCAGTCAATAAATGCTTCTGGTATTGACTTATATGCTGCCCCTGTCTTCATGTTGTTGCTGGACATATCTTTTTAAAAATGTGT